GTATATGAGGGAATGCTTGATGTTTTCAGGATGGGCACTCTTGTAGTTCAGGTAGGTATGATTATCTGTAGGTTTCGTATATAATGTGGTGTTGATACGATCCTTATCGACTCGTACAAGGACATCAAGAAAAGCGATATCAGTGAATTATTGGGTTGATGTGAAACGGATACTGTGATTGGTGTTGTTGATAGAGTTTATGAACGCTTTAGCCACAATCGCACTGGACTTTTTTTGATAAAACTAACCAACACGTTGGCTAGTTTTACCATAATTAGTCCAGTGCGAACAGCACAGGAAGTTTACCTGACAGGAAACTTACCCAAGCCGCGCGGTTAATTTAACCGAGTCCCGCTTGCCCAGGAAAACTGACCAGGTTAGTTTTACCTAGCAGGAAAGTCCAATGCGAACAGCGCGAGTCGGGTAAACTCCCCAAGTCATCACAGTGAATGACCTTCCTCAGGCTGTCAGGCAATTACGCATGAGCTGTGACCTGGAATAAAACGTCAGAAACAAACATCTTGATTAATTTCGCGCGTGTTTGCTAGTGTCTTGATTTTGAGTAATTTTGTCATTTTTTTCACTTGTTTACTCGGTTTGTTTCAATGGCCGATTTATATGGAGCATTAATAAATGTGCTAGGTCTTGGTGAGACAATCCATCGCGATTATCAACAAATACAACATGATGATGTGGGCCTAGTCCAAAGAAACACTGTCACAACAAGAAGGAGAACCCGGCGGTTTAGCTTGTTACGATCTGTCGTACGTGATAAGATTGGGTTTCGGCACATGAAGTAATATTTTCTATGGTACATCACAGCGATTTAGCGCCCCCAATAGTTGAATCTGTACGAATGGTTAGTTTCACCATGGGCTGTGGTGAAACTAACCACGTCGATAAATCCCAGTGCGAACGACAGGAAGTTTACCCATTGGAATGTTACCCACAGTCTCGGTAAAAATTTCCCTATTTTAAATCCAGTGCGATTGCGGCTTTTGAGTGCATGTTCGCCATGTGGCCAGATGAAAAATATATCATCGATATATCTGACGTAATGTAAAGGCTGTAGGGGATATCGGTGAACGTATGGATCTTCGAAGTGGGCCATGTATATATTAGCGTATGCTGGTGCCATTTTTGTACCCATGGCCGTGCCTTTGATTTGCTTATAGTGTTTTTCGTTAAAGTGAAAGTGGTTATGCGATAAGATGAATTCGATAATAGAAATGATGTCTCGAATGTCGTAGTCAGGCAGAAATTTAGTGAGAAATTCTCTACAAGCGACGAGACCGTCTTTGTGTGTATATTGCTTTTTCTGTAACAGATGTAATAACCATAAAAGTTCTATCAGAAATAAATATAACCTTCCCGTAGCTAAGCATTTTAATCAAGTTAACCACTCATTAAATAATATGAAATTCATTCTTATAGCCAGCGGATTTAGGTCATTGGCAGATAGACGATGCGCCGAAATTAGATGGATTCTTTAAAATTAAATACACATAAATGTGGTGCAAATAAAGATTTGGGCTTCGCATCTTCATATTCATTCGCCAAATAAGACCTTATACTTATCATAGCATATCGCTCAATATATTATATCATTTAATTTTCTGCATCAATTTTAAGCATATATA